TATGGAGATCCCGCATATTGCCGATGAAGAGGCTAGCCCATCCGAGCCACCTTCAAGCAATCCTTTGGGCTCGGGTTACGGGTCAGCCACTTGGCTCTCTGTTTTGGCGCTCCAATGCGAGGAAACTAATCAGAAATTGGATGCGATATTAAAGAAGGTGGGGAGCGTAGAAGACCGAGTCTCAGACTTGGAAAAGAAGACAGCCCGCTTTTGGGCGTATACACGAGACTGGAACCGAGTGGAACGACAACTTTACAGGCGTCAAGACTCCCTCTTGACAGCCCAACTTCCAAGGTTTCCAAGTGGTCTATACCCCCTACAGGTACGGTGTTTCCCGCCCTTGCAGCCTACCATGCCGGTCACTGTTTTTGTTGCTGCCCCTTTTGCTCCTACTCCTCATGTTCCTGTTGATGCTTCTGCTGTTGCTACCACTGCTCTCATGCCTGCTGGTCTTGTTCCCGTTACTGCTCCTGATGTCCAAAGCTCCAAAGAAGCAGATGCGGCCCCTGCTTGCCCACAGTAAGCAGTTTTGATGGGAATGGTTTAATTCTCGACTTTTCATCGTTACTTCTTAAAACATTATTTTTGGTATATCATTTTGGGGTACAGATATACTTATATTTCCGTCTTTTGTGTATGATTTACGGAAACGTCATTTCTTTTGTTTGAATATAAATGACATGGTGTTGGATTTCATTTTGTTTGTCTAGTTCCATTTCTCTTTTCAGGTACAACATCCTTGGATGATTTTTAGTAGTGTTTACGTTAAAAGGACGTAGGCCCTCCTTCTATTTTTAAGCCCAAACACTTTTGCCCTTGTACCCAACCCGTACCCTTTTGGTCCCTTTTGCTACAATGGGGACATTGTCGATATTAAGTTTGGGGGGATGTGTCAAAAAAATTTATACCTTCGAAAAACTGGGAGGTATGAAAAAAAAGAGAAAAAAGAAGAAGAGAAAAGAACAAATATATATATAGAGAGAAGAAAACAAAACAAAAAAAAAGAATCGGTCTTCGAAAAATCGGAAAGCGAAAATAAAAAGCCCGGTTATCCAAAATGGCAAGTTTATGCCAAGAAATGGGTCACAAACTTTTTTCAAGTACTCAAAAGTGAACCGATGAGAACTTTGTTTCAAACCCTTTTGTAGTATAGGATAAATTTGGGGGAGGGATACACGCTGTTATTGCCAAAAACACTAACTCTTAAGTCCTACTGATTAACGAACAACACTACAAAGATCAAACAAAAAAGTTGTACATCATCTTTACTAGACAAATTTCCAACACCTTCTGTAAGTTTTTCGTTCTTGTTTCTTTCTTTAGGTGTATTTTTCTTTATTTCCTTTTACTTGATGACAAGTAACGCCTCAAGTTTGGGGGTGTGATAACTCTCAATTTATGAGAGTTATTTGTTGTTCAATACCCCTATTTTATTGTGTCTTTGGTACCCATTTTGCTCTTATCCTGTATTTTTGGTCCAAAATATGTTAAGAGGTGATGAAAGGTCAAGAATTTGATTATTTTCTGAAAAACCATTGCTGTTGGTATAATGCCCACTTTCTGCTCACATTCTTCCTATGACGTATTTTCCTCAAGACAGATTTGGACAAAATTCAAATACTGGCTCTCCTGGGTATTAATGGGATTAAATTCTGAAGTCAGATCTGAAGTCTTGAATTATTTAGAAGAATAGGCCTTGTTGGATTAAAAAATGTCTTAAAAGTAACCCTACCATTATTTTAATAAAAAACTTTAATTACCTTTTCCTTAATTTAAGGGTTAGGTAACTTTACCTTTTTCAACCTTTCAAAAAAGGTGATAAGGCCTGGAAAGTAGACAAGAAGTGATGGGGGGTCTTTATCCTTTAGTCGATGAAGACTTTCTTCCGTTGGGTGAAGAGTTTATCCGGTTCTCATTTTTTCACTATATATTGAAGCTTTTCTCTCATTTGGAAGACAATGAATCCATCACCAATTCAGCCAAGCAACCTTGGAGCATTCTCTCAAGCTCTACAAAAGTAGAGCAAGTTTAATTTCTGCATTTAATTTTAATTTCGTACTTAGTCTTTAATTCTCGCCACTGTGCATTGTATGCTCCCTGTGGGCAATAGTTTAAGTGTTAATTTCAGTTCAAGTATTTCTTATGCATTTTTCTTCTTCTGTTTCCTCTATGTTTTCTAATTTTATTATGAGCTAAGCACCCCTTTGGGTGTGGGTGTGAGTCAAACTTAAAAATTTAAAGGCACACTTGGGTGTTGCCAATTTTATTGATTCTTAAGCTTGGTCATTTAAGTCGGGACTTAAGCTCAACGCAGATAAGCTGATCACTTTGAAGTGTTAATATTAGATCCTTGATCCAGAGATGGGCGGATCTGAAATACGGCTTAGATGATGCACAAAGATTTGAGAGAGTCTTTGATAATTAGGCAGAGATGCGGGTTCTGCATGTTTTTAGCTAATGTTCAGATATTAGTCGAGTTTATGCTACAAAGAGATTTGAGTATAAATCTTCAGGCTAGTGGAACCAGATATCTTTTTATCTATTAGCTAATTCGGCAAGTTTAAGATTGATAAAACTGGACGCTTTGTGGGCATTATGTGGGCACAGTATATAAGAATTCACTTTCGAGAGATCGGAGTTCTTATATAAGTCCCATGAGTTCCTGACCAAACTCTTCCAACAATATTCTTAAGGGAAGCTTACACCCATACCCATCTTTTAATTTCATCAGGTTCATTTCGTATTTTAAAGCTTTGCACAAACAAAACTCAACTATTTTCTCAAAACTGAAACATGTTCAAGACGTTCATGAAACTCTTTGATTCTCAGTAAGTCCAGTCCCTGTGGAAACGATCTTGGTACTATACCACTTTATTACTTGAAGCGATCATAGTGTCGGCGTGCACTTGCACTGCCACTTTGGGGACTTTGTGCCCACTGTGTGCACACTTAAGAATCCAGCACATCACTGCGAGAGCAAAATCATTTAATTCCTATGCTAATACTAGAAAGAACAACTTTACTTATGATGTTCAAGATGATTGTGATGCTTTTGATAAAAACATTAAATTTTCGCTAAAAGTTTATTCAGTAAAGCATTTAATCAATTTGTCTCATAATAAAATGTGTTGTTCTACTTGTGGATTGAATGACTTCGTTGATAATAATTGTGCTTATGATTGGTTTGGCACGTATCATGTTTCAAAATCTTCTAAGCCTAAACCCAAAATTTTGAAACCAAAAACACCCCAACATAAATCTAACAAGAAAGGACCCATATTTAAATGGGTATCTAAATCCACTTAATTTGTTTTGCAGAATGGTCATGTGTGGTATCTGACTCAGGATGTTTAAAACACATGACCATGAGAAAATAGATACTATCAAATTTTGTGGAAAAGTATGGTGGGATGGTAAGGTTTGGTAATGATCAATTTTCACAGATCATGGGCTACAGAGACATTGTGCAAGGGAATCTAACAATCAAAAGGTGGCTTACGTAGAAGGTCTAGGACACAATCTGTTCCGCATTGATTAGTTTTGTGACAAGAACTTAGAAGTTCATTTTTAGGCCAATCACTGCAGTGTCCGAACAACAGAGAGAATGGAGATCTTAGTTGGAAAAAGACGATCAAATCTCTATAAGGTTGATCTTTCTAATATCAAGGTTAACTCTGTTGTATGTATTTTGTCCAAAGACTCTATACAACAAAACTTCTTATGGCACAACCGACTTTCCCACTTGAATTTCATGAATCTGAACAAGTTGGTGACGAGAGGGTTGGTAAAAGGCTTACCGGAGCTGAAAATTGAAAAAGAACATCTGTGTATGGCCTGCGATATGGGGACGATGAAGAGAGCTTCACACAAGTTTGTTGCTAGTGACAAAACTTCAAGACTGTTGCAGCTACTTCATAGGGATCTCTGTGGTCCTATGAGGATTCAAAACATCAATGGGAAGAAATACGCGCTGGTGATGGTGGATGCCTATTTACGATACACTTGGGTAAAGTTCTTGAGAACCAAGGACGAAGCCCCATAGCTGATTATCTCCTTTATCAAGAGTATACAAGTCAACCTACAATTGATCGTACAATCAATTCGAACTGACGACGGTACTGAATTCAAGAACAGAACCCTAGATGGCTATCTAAAATCCATTGGTATTTCTCATACTTTGTCAGCGCCCCGAACTCCATAGCAAAATGGAGTGGTAGAGAGAAGAAATCGTACATTGGTAGAAGCGGCAATGCTCGTCTACTCAAAGCTACCACTCTACCTTTGGGCTGAAGCGGCGCGCACAATGCTTGTCAGTTCAGAACCATGCTTTTCGTAGTCCATGCAACAAACCAACATAGTCCAAATCCAGATACTAACTCCAATGAGAATTCTAACTCAATCTCTCATAATTCTGATTTGGACTTACTATTTGATTTTTTTATAATGAATCTTTTGGAACAACTAAAACTAATGAAAATCTTTCTCTTTCAAACAGTGTTCCAGTAGTCAATGTGGAGGAATTAGACTCACCTTCTCAACCTTTTACATCATATGAAGTACCTAATGCAACTATGAACATTGAAACTCCCCAAGTAACAAAAAAGATCCCGACATCCATTGAAGAACCTCAAACCTTTGTTCCAGACACTGATCCTCCCAAAATAAATCAGACTAGTACAAATCCAAAGACTGCTCCTACTCTTGAAATGGTACAATATCAACCTCTGAGCTCGTATGTCGACCCCAACGCTGATCTCACAATGTTTCAACCTCTACCACACACGGGAAATTGGATAAGGGATCATCCTCTGCATGAATTCATAGGAGACCCGACATCCAGTGTGAGAACGAGATCTGCATTTGGGAATGAATGCCTATTCACCACCTTCTTGACCAAGGTAGAACCTACCAAAGTGTCATAAGCTCTTGAAGACCCAGACTGGATCTTGGCAATGTAAGAGGAGCTAAATCAGTTTGAACTCCTAAAGGTTTGGTGACTCATGCTACATCCAAAGGACAAGTCGATCATCGGTACTAAATGGGTATTCAAGAATAAGAAGGATGAAGATGGTGTCGTAATTCGAAACAAGGCAAGACTGGTGGGGAAGGGAAACAATCAAGAGGAAGGTGTGGAATGCGATGAGACTTTTGCACCATTAGCAAGAATTGAAGCAATCCAAATGTTCTTGGCATATATGACCCGTAAAAACTTCACGGTCTATCAAATGGAGGTGAAAACCGCCATCCGCTATGGAGTTTTGAAGAAAATAGTGTATTGTCTCGCAACCCGATGGATTCGTGAACGCCTTAAAACCAGATCACGCATACATCTTGGACAAAGCTCTCTATGGTCTGAAACAAGCTGCACGTGCCTGGTATGATATTCTCTCTGATTTCCTCGTCAAAGCTGATTTCACCAAAGGTAAGATTGATACTACTTTGTTCATCAAAACGGAAGGTAAGGACATAATCTTGATACAGATATATGTCAACGGTATAATCTTTGGATCTACTAACTTAAAATACTGTAAGAACTTTTTAGACCTCATGGTGTCACGATTTTAAATAAGCATGATAGGATAATTAAATTTCTTTCTCAGACTTCAAATTAAACAATTTTCAAATGGTATTTTCATAAATCATTCTAAATACATTCAAGATATGTTAAAGAAATTTAATATGGAAAATTGTGCTTCAATGTAGACTCCGATGAAACCTGGTTCTAAGCTCAACTTTGATCCTAATGGAATAAGTATTGATCCGAAAACCTATAGGGGAATGTTAGGCTCTTTAATGTATTTAACGACTAGTAGACCATATATTATGATTTCAACATGTTTCTGTGCTAGATTCCAAGCTAAACCTAAGGAATCCCATTTACTTGCGGCAAAACGCATCTTGCGATATCTAAAAGGTAGAACTGATCTTGGCTTGTGGTATCCTAAGGAAACAGGTTATGAGCTGACTGCCTATTTCGACGTTGATCATGTTGGATGCAAGTTGGATCGCGAGAGCACATCTGGACATGTCCAATTCATGGGAGATTAATTGGTGAGTTGGGCATCTAAGAAGCAGAACTATGTATCCACCTCGATGGATGAAGTTGAGTACGTTGCTGCTGCTAGCTACTGCTCACAAGTCATCTGGATGCGCACACAGTTGAAGGACTATGACTTCAGCTTCACCAAGATCCCTATCTACTGTGACTCCAAAAGTGAAATTTCCATTTCCTACAACCTGGTCCAGCACACAAAAACGAAGCACATAATATATCAGGTATCACATCATAAAAGACCATATAGAACGAGTTATAATATAACTGTACTTTGTAAATACTGAGTTTCAGCTTGCTGATTTATTTACCAAAGCTTTTGGATGAACATAGATGTAGTTTTCTTGTCTCCAAGATTGATATGTTAAATCTAAAAGCTTAAAGTTTTTCTAAGAAAAATAGTACTTTCAAAGTTTATTTCTATACATTTTATTCTATGTAGTCTAGTTTTTAGTTACTAATGTGTGTTGATGTTTTCAGGCGTACGAAACTCCATAAGGTAAGTACTATTTGAAGTACTATTTGAGGGGAGTATGTCTTACAATTTTTTTAATCTGGTACATTTATTCGAGGGGGAGCATTTTTAATTTTTATTTTTAAGCATATTTTGAGGGGGCAGGTTGCTTTTCTTTGAAAATTACTTTGTGTAATTTTTGAGGGGGAGTACACCTAAAATTTAAAAACCTTGTGCTTAAACTAGTTAAAAGTTTCACATATTTTAAGTTGGAGAATTTTATTTTCTTAGAATTTTTTTGAAAAATTTCTATGTAGGGGTGCTCAAAAACCCGACCAACCCGATCAACCCAACCCAACGTGAAATAACCCAATCCGAAGCAACTGATGTCTAATCGAGTTGTAAAATTGTCAAACCGTAGGTAATTGGGTTGATATTGGGTTATTATTATTTGAACCCAACCCAACCCAATGAACCCTATATCCTTTTATTTCTTGAATTTAATATAATTGTTGAATTTCAATTAATATATACATTAGACAATTATACTATCACGTTTATCAAGGTCAAGGTCATACTTATCGCATTGTACATCTGTCAAGGTCATCGCATCCTCTAGATACGATATCATGTTTATTGCATCATTGTGATTCGACAAAATGCTTTATCGCATCAGTTTGATACAACAAACTGGGTCATCTCATCCTTCTGATGCGATAACCTAGTAGGGTCATGCGATAACTTTCCTTAATCATGCGACCAGTTCAACACTTAGGATATTTTTCTGGAATTTTTTCCGAACGTTTTCAGATCTATTATGTTACAGGTTTTATAGTAATGTGTGTACATTGCAGATGGCTCAAGACGATGCTCATATGTCCGATGAGGAAAACCAAATACCCTCAATCTGCTTTTTTGTCCCGTCTGTCAATGCAACAAACCCGGATGAGGAACTCATCCTGAAAGCCTAGTACCTAAATATCCAACCCAATAACGACGTCCTACACTTCTCAATGAGATGTGATCACCAGATCATTCTCAAAATCCTTAAAGGACACCCACTAAAAACTGCCATAACCATGACCTCCCAAACCCCAATGATCTATGTACAATAATTTTGGAAGACCCTAAAATATCATCCAGTTGTTGAAAACCACCATTTCACAACCAACATAGACCATTTTGAAACAACACTGACTTTGAGATGGCTACTGCGCGTCTTGGGAGTTCCTGAAAAGACGTCAAGAACGGGCAAAGTCGACTTCAATGACTTTGCCTCGGATCATCAAATATGTGCTGACCTCTGCTTCCTTGGATATGTTGAGAACCTGACTGTAGCAAACCAATTCAAAAAGGTGTTCCTACCACCTCTGGTACATGCTCTTCTCTATCATCAACTGTTGCATGACGTCAAAGCACACTGGCATGGATAGGTGCATCATATCGGTTCTCTAGATGTTCTATGGCATTGCTTTTAACTGCCATTACGACTACATCGTGCCGATTTGGAACAAATTGGTAGAAGTGGTGCACGACAAATCCAACAACAAAACTTGGAAGTTCGTTCCATTTCAACGGTTCCTACAAATCATTATCAAAAGCTTGATGCGGATGAACAATGAAATTCCAAATAGACTGATCAAGCAAGAAGGACCGGAATTCTTGATGCATTTTGGACAGAGAATTCGAACAGGTCCTTCCTGTATCATTTGAACTACTTGCATACGCAGATCAGAGTGCACCGAGTGTCATAGCGTATAGAGAGGCTCATGGTCTTGCTCTGATACCAGAGTTGGTATCAGAGCCTGAGTTTAAGGGATTTAGGTATTCACATGCATGATACCTAGACTTAAACTATTTCATTGCATATTAGGGTCCCAAACATAGTTAGCACCTTTGGAATAAATATAATAAGTTAAGAGATCAGTGTGTAAGGTATTTTCGGATTACATCTGGCCAATGTAATTTTGCATATACAGGTACATAACTGAACTTGGACACTTTATTATATTTGGGAATGTGAAAAATATGTGTTTTAACTTTGTTATATGCAGATGGCTAATAGATCGAGAAGGTCAGAAAGGATCACACGCCCCAATGAAGAAGAATCCCCTATTGCTCCTATTGGCACCTCTGAGGGCAAAACCAGAGGCAGAGGTAGGGGGCAGACCAGAGGCAGAATAAGCTAGCCATAAATTAATATGAATCAAGCAGAATCAAACTTTGAAAATATGAATCAAGAATGGATGTCTCACCCAGAATATGTAACAAGAGACATATTAGCTGAAGAAATGGGAAARCTAAGGGAAACCTTGACTTCTATTTTGAGGAATCCTGCCAGAATAGAGACAGGCAGAATTGAAGTTACTTCATCGATTCCAATTCTCAATAACAGGGAAGGAGATATAAAGATGTTTCTAACTTGTAAACCACCAACCTTCTCGGGAGAAAGAGATCCAATTAAAGCTATGTGTTGGGTCAAAGAGATGGAGTTTGTATTCAATACCATCCGATGTGTAGAAACAGATAAAGTCAGATTTGTAGTCTCTGTGCTGAAATCAAATGCGTTATTTAGGTGGGAAGTAGAATCCTTAGCCAGAACCGATATTTTACAAACTATGACATGGCTAGAGTTTGTCAATAGATTCAAGGAGCAGTTTTGCCCAAAAGCTGCCATTCGACAAATGGAAGAAGACTTTCTAAAATTGGAACAAGGAGACAGAACTGTAAGGGAATATACAGAGAAATTCATCGAATATTCAAGATTTGCAGAACATTATATTTCTTCGGAATCTAGAAAAGTGGAAAGGTATATTTGGGGATTGAAACCATCAATCCGAGAATTTGTCATAGCCATGAATACGACTACATTTTCATTGACCATTGACGCAGCGGAGGTAACAGAAAGAAACAAGAACATACAAGAAGAAGGGAAAGCAATAGAAAAGAGGAAATGGAAAGGTCCATCAACCGGATACAAAGGACCAAAAGTTGTAAAACATGGGAACAGGCTCATACAAAGATTCAATGAAAGGACTTGTCCCCAATGTCATCAAGTTCATCAGGGAGAATGCAGGATTGAGCTAAGGAAATGTTATAAATATGGTGAAACTGGTCATTTGTCGAATGTTTGCCCAACAGTTAAAAGGTGTTTTAATTGTAATTCTCCAGATCACCTCAGACCAAATTGTCCACAATTGAAAGCCCCACAGTTAACCATGGGGAGCAATACATCAACAGGCCGAGGAAGGCCAAATATGGGCAGAGGAGCAACGGGTGGGGTGCAGGGTCGATCTTTTCAAATGACCAAACATGAAGCAGAAACTACACCCGATGTAGTAACAGGTACATTTTTCGTGAACTCCTTACATGCTAAAGTGTTATTTGACTCGGGTGCAAACTAGAAGTTTGTATCCCCATCATTTTCCTTATGTGCTCATATGAATTCTATGCCATTTGACGATAAGTTATTAGTTGATACTGCTAACGGTCAAGTATCTGTAAGTTACGTGCTTAAAAACTGCACTATCATGATTGAGGATTGTGAGATACCCATCTGATTGTTTCCCATGCCTATGAAGGAATTTGATGTGGTAATAGGAATGGATTGGTTGGCAAAAAATAAGGCTAGCATCGTTTGCAATGAAAAGATGATTAGAATTATGTTACCTGACAGAAGGATAGTCGTAATTTATGGTGATCATCAGGATCATCATACCAGTTTGCTATCTATGATGAAAGCCAGAAAATGTATCCAAAAGAAATGCCAAGGATTTTTAGCTTACATAATTGATGCCAAGAAAGAAAAGTATAAGCAAGAATTAATTTCGGTTGTCAGTGAATATCCTGAAGTCTTTCCAGAAGACTTGTCAGGGCTACCTCCAGATTAGAGTTATTGAATTTGGGATTGATTTGATACCTGGAGCAGCACCTGTAGCAAAAGCACCGTACAGATTAGCTCCATTAGAATTAAAATAACTGGTTACACAATTAAAGGATTTGTCAGACAAAGGATTTATCAGGCCAAGTACTTCACCATGGGGAGCTCCAGTTCTGTTTGTGAAAAAGAAAGATGGCACTATGCGTATGTGTATTGATTATCGAGAGTTAAACAAATTGACCATAAAGAACAAATATCCATTGCCAAGGATCGATGATTTGTTTGATCAAATAGTAGGAGCCAATTACTTCTCAAAGATTGATTTGCGATTAGGATACCACCAGTTGAAAGTCAAAGAAGGTGATATAGCAAAAACAGCATTTTGAACCAGGTACGGGCACCATGAATTCTTGGTTATGCCATTTGGTTTAACTAACGCACCTGCAGTTTTCATAGATCTGATGAATCGAATATGTAGAGAATACCTCGATAAATTTGTCATTGTATTTATCGATGATATTCTTATATACTCCGAAACCCAAGAAGAGCATGTAGAACATCTTCGATTGATCGTTGAGCTTTTGAAAAGAGAAAAGCTGTATGCTAAACTATCAAAGTGTGAATTTTGGCTAAGAGAAGTCCAGTTTTTAGGGCATGTTATA